TATCAATGGACAACAAAGCAAAATATTATTACACTCTAATCAATTGCCACAACCAGACACCTGGGTCAAATTTAAAATCAATAGCTCCAACACTTTCCCAATCACTGTCCGCATTACCGAAGGCACTGAATCAGTGATTTACCAATTTATGATTAACAACTATCCGACAGAATTTAACCCTAATGTAACCCTGTATCTCTACATATTTATTACAAGCGACTTGAATAACAAAACTAATTTAAACTTTAATATCGGGGTTAAAATGGGGCCAAAATACGAGTTAAAGTTAGCTGAATTACAGCCAATTGAACACAATTACCATTTGAACAATTTTCAAATTAATGAACAAGTAGAGTTGATTAACCAATTAATTAAACCAGATGATTTGATACAAAATAATATTGATGAAAATATAGTAGTCTATGACTGCGATTACTATTCAAACAATGAGAGTCATTGTGATGAAAGCCCAATAGAAACATCTGATTGTAATAAAACACAACGAGTTAACGACACAATACAAACTGTGACCGATAATGAACTGGGTCAATTTACGAACAAACTGGTTGAGCAATACAGGGAACGTATAATAAAGTTGTTCAATACATTTGAGCCAAACACACAAACTTATTCACTTAAATCACGCGAAATACGGTCTGAGATTTTATATAAGTTTGATCATAATTTTGACCACAATAACCATGGTCAATTGTTGGACAAACATAGGGTAACCTTAATTGCATTGATGGACAGCGAAGACATGCAATGCAGAGCTATTGCCAAACATATTGCAGACAAAAATCAACAAAAATACCAGAAATTGATTGAATTATGTGTTAAAGAGTTCAATGAGAAAATGTGCATGCTTATCGATAATGACATTAATCAAGAGGGATTAGAAAATAATTTCAATAATATTTACTGCGAAGTAAATCATGAAATAACGAAATTATTTAATAGCGGATCCGTTGGTCTATCGCGAGGCAAACAAATGCGAACATATTTATCACTTTTGACACAAAATATCACTGAAAATGTTAAGAAATACAAACATTTATACGATTGCAATGAAAATTATCATAATATATGTGAACAACAAATACGGATCGATAGATATATTCCCGATAAACAACTCTATGAAATACAAACACAAATACCGGTTCCCAATGACTTACAGGCAAATACACAACTAATGGATAAATTGCGTAAAATGTATGAAAAAAATTACAAATATTTCATGAATGAAATGAAAAAGATTATGGATTACGAAAAACAAGTGGCGGAAAAATTAATAGAGTTAACAGTAAAGAAATACAGACAACTATTTGACCAAGTATCAAAATCAAAATTTTATACCCCGTCCGATCTCAATGGTATTCACTCCCTATTAATTGTTGAATGCATAACAGCGTTAAACCAATCATTCTCGTTTACACACAACCAAATTGAACTGGTGCAATCGTGCGTTGAGAAATGCCAAGCTAAATTACATAATGTTTATGTGCAAATTAAATTAGATTATACGACAAAAGCTATGCGTTTATTCACATTAAACCATAAAATGCATCAAAAGTTTTGCCAAAATGTGGAAAAACATTTGGGAAATGATTTCATAGAAATCAATGAATTGCAGCGTTTGCTCGAAAGCGAGTCAAACGATATAATGAATACATTTAATGAAAATATGGTCAGCATTGAAAAGGACTGGGACTGGGATTTGTTTATTGATATTAAATCAGCACAACGCTATAGTCTACAATTGACTATGCTCGACAAAATACAAAAATACAAATTAATAAACTTTCACAATGCTAGCGATGGTAACTATTTGTGCGTTTACTTTGAGCCCCGACTGTTAATGGCCGGTTATTTTGATCGTGGGGTACAAGTTGTCCCTGGTGATGACCACAGTCAAGCAAATAATACTCAGGGCAAGCATTATGTGGACAATTGTATTGCGTTCAACAATAATAACTTTATAGTCGGGAGAAAAGCCAAAGAGTATTTGACGGGACATTTGGACACCGAGTTTGATGTAGTCAAGCAAATAATACTCAGGGCAAGCATTATGTGGACAATTGTATTGCGTTCAACAATAATAACTTTATAGTCGGGAGAAAAGCCAAAGAGTATTTGACGGGACATTTGGACACCGAGTTTGATGTGAAGGACCTGTTGGGTAGGGATTGTGTGGACGGCGAAGAACTTAAACGATACCCTTTTAATGATTATATGCCGGACCCACCCCTTAGAGTACGTGTGCCGTCACGCAAACCCGGTTATGGCCTGATCTACAGCTTAAACATTGAGACATTGGTGTCACTACAAGTGTTGGACATTAAACACAGAGCCGAGACTGCGATGAAAGCACTTCCACAGAGGGCTGTGTTCTGTGTGCCCACACGTTATAACACTAAACAGAGGCGCGCGATGTTAGACGTGGGCAAAATTGTCAATTTTAATCATGTTTATATTATCAACGAAATTACTTCAGCAGCTGTGGCCTATGTTATCGACGCCCCCCGCAAACCATCTAACAGAGAGTATATAATGATATTTGCCATTCACGGTGAACAATGCGAAATGAGCCTGCTCATGTTGGACAATTATTTAATTCGCCACCTGTCGTATCAAATGTTGAACAGTCTCGATGACTTTGACCAGAACCCCGGTCGTTTTAAAGATTGTATATCAAACACCTTAATTCTACAACAATTGACCATGCGCGACCTAAGCCGGGTATTAGTGATCGGGCATTCGTACAAAATACCAGCGTTTAAAGACCTGATTGCGGCCACACTTACTGCTTATTCTACGGCCAACCATAACATACTCTATAAATGCAATCCGACAGACGTTATAATGAAGGGAACCGTATATTACGGACAACTAATGGACAAAAGGATGAAAACTATAACTATAGATGAGATCGTGAGGACACCCATTAAACTCTTGGTTCATAAGAATAACAGACCAATAATTTCCTATAAACTGATGGCTTTGAACGCCACGACTAATGACTATCGAGAGGCCAAACAAATTAAAATGAAATTGAGTGCCGATTGTTTCCCCATAGAGTTGTGTCTCAATGAGGGCGACGTCACTGTTAAGACGTTTAAAGTGGACAAAATAGAGGGCTCGTGGACTGAGATGTACATCAGCTACCGCATGGATGAGCACACACTCGACGTATACCTGATAGCCGGATTGAAATCTAAGATGGGAACTGGGCTGTCATTAGGATTTGAAGATCGGGCTGAAAAATATGGACTGAGTCCCGAGTGTATTAATGGTCAGCGCGATATATTACGTGAGCTTGGTGCTTTTACATCGCAATATAGACCAAATAATATAGTAACTCAGCCGTCAGTGCCTATACAACCGTTCGAGGCGTGTGTTTCCGACGGCGATAACAACTCTGAGACACCGGTAGACATACACAATGAGTCTGTCCGTGAGTTTCGCCAATTGGTGTCCGATATCGGGCGCCGACTCACAGACTGTCAGACAATTGCAACCAAAAAGAATAAACTTTATGCAAAACTCGGGGAATGCGAACAAATTGTGGTCAGAGATGGACGACGAGTAGAGGAACAGAGGATTGAATTGATTAAACTTATCGACACGTTTAGATTGAGAGACGAGCTGCTGCATGAATCTTTCGGATCTTTTAAATGTGTTGACTACGGTGAGTTTATATAATTTATGTAGTTTCACATTATAATTTATATTTTTTATTACCAAGTTTAGATACGGATCGCTCATAAGGTGCAAATTAAATCAACTCGATTTCTATAATCCAAATCAATATAATATTTTCTAATTATAATTTTATATACGATTATAATATTTGTGTAATTTATAAATAGTGTACAAAGTTATTTGTTAAAACAAATAAAACCAAATAAAACACACGAAATTTAAAAATAATACAATTTGGTTTTATTATTAAAACCAAATAAAACCAAATTTTGGTCGTTATTAAGTTGTAAAATGTGATCAGATATCACCTGTTTTCTGAATGGTTTTATGCATTTGTACATAATTTGGTATATTTATTTTTTTCGATAAATTAAATGCACAAAAAATAATATTTTGGCTATTTGTAGTGATTCTGCTACCTACATAATAAGTCTCGTCTATAATATTAAGTCAAATTATAATAACAATTTGGTTTATACAAAAAATAAAACCAAATAAAACGAAATTTTAAAATTATTATTGACAAACCAACAAATAACACCAAATTTTTCTTAAAATTAATAAAACCAAATAAAACACACGAAATTAAAAAAAATAATAAAACCAAATAACTTTGTACACTATTTATAAAACCTTATAATAAATTACTCCGTTTACAAATACGTTAAAATTATTATTGATATTTAACTCTTTTACACAACTTTAAATATTGTAAATATTTTAATTGAAACATTTTTGTCCTAGACATTTTTAATATACAGTCCAAAAGTAAATTTTTGTTAATCAAATGTTAACAAATTAGATTTACTACGAATTGATACATATAATAAATGTAATTATGATATACTAATCAGCATAAACTTTAGATCTAAATTAATATAATTTTTGTTAAAACTACAATTTATTTAAATTAGCGTTTATAAAAATTTAATCTTATTAATAAACAAGGATCAATCAGCAATGGTATACGTTAACCACAATTTGAGTATTAGTCCAGTCATATTAACATTAGTCCCATAAATTTGCGAATGTTCATAGATTTATCATTAGTCCCGAACGATCCTATAAACCATATTCTTAGTATACGAATTGTGGTTAAAAAGTTAAATTATATTAAATTATATAATAACTAACTCAAACTGTAGATGGAGATTAATATGGTTATACCAATTAATGTGATGTCAATATTATATCTATTATTTGTATCAAACAAATTGTGTAATTTTTGTGAAATTGCTTTATATTCACTGTCAGTGCTGTTTAGTTAACAGACAGTGAGTAAAAAGTTATATTCATAAATGTACGTTTAAAATAATATTTATTGTTTTTAATATAAATAAATAAAGCACTTGGTATGTAAATTATTAATACATGCATTTGATAGTCTATGCATTTATTTTCTACAATATATTTTCATTAAATTTAATTCTAAAATCAATTTATAAATGTTTAATTGTTATATATTATTAATAAATTAAAGTCAATTTGTTTACGTTTCACATACAATAGCGTATAGAGTATACTATGAATGTAGAATTATTGAGACTTATATCCAGGCCATTCCAAAATAGAGAGGGGGCTTTTATTACTTGAACGTGATTATTGTTTCACCTTGGTATTATTCTATATATTAGTAATATAATATAATATTACTCACAATACATGTGAATAGTGTATGAATAATGTACACAATCTTTTATAAAATTTGCCTCAAACTGGCACTTTGGAATCCGCTGCTAATCAAATAATTAATGTTTTAAACATTTGCTGTTCATAAAAAATATTAGTTATCCATAAAAAAATATTATCTTAACAAAAATATTAATAACATTAAAACATTTCATTATAGATATAATTATTTTGATAACAAAGTCCACAAAAGCGTATAATTATTTTTGATGTTAAATAATATTATATTTATTAAGATAAAGGCTTGCATTCAAAGAAATTAAAACTATGTAGTACAGTTAAACTTCCAAAATAGTTAGAGAAGTAAGAAATAATAAGAAATAGATATATTATTATATATTTACGTTGTGTTGTATTCTAAATCTAAAATACGGTTACTATCAGAAGTGAGCAGCTAACATAATATTCGAAATAAAATTTTAATTATTTTATTTTGTAATTTACAAAATATTATTTAGTGTTTAATCACGATAAGTTAATGATAATATATTACTGTTTTTATATTATATATATTTTGTATTATATTTAAAGCAAATATATCATTATTTAAAAACACCTTAAATATACTAGTTAATGTAGTTTAATTTAAGATTTATTTCAAAAATTATTATATATATATGACCTGATTAGATTGTGTTAAGCCTATAAACCTACTGTTACCATGTTGTAAATAAATTAATTTATTTTATTCTATTATCAGTGATTTATCACAAATTCCTTCAAACAAAGAAGGAATTGAATAATAAAATAATAACAATTTATTATGCATAATGGAAAGCATAATTCAATAATGAACATAATATATTTAAAATGAATTCTAACATTGTTTATAATGATTCAAAACAATGTGAAATTGTGCCTGTTCAAATTATCAACATTGAAAAATGTCGTGGTAATGCAAGAGCTAATTATGTGCTTAACAAATCTGGTCTTGAACAAATACTGGCTAAAGTAAGCAACAAAAAATTGTCCCTTATTTTTAATGTGGGCAAACAGGGAGAGGGCAACTCGTTTTTGCTCAATAAGATTGGCAGACATATTATCAATTGTGTCAAACACTGTGTGAACATAGGAGAGGCTGAGGCACAAGATGTGACCTGCGATTTCAAGGCTCTCGAAGATCCAGACGACCCTTTATTTGGTAATTAAAGTAGTAATTAATATTTTCTTATTTTTATTTATTAAGTCTCTCTCTCCATTATATTCATATATTTTCTCAAACTCTGTGATTGTGTGTCCGATATCTACGATAGGGTTTGAGTGGAATAAAGACCCGAATGAGACCACAACGAGAGGTATTTGGTTTTCGCAGCCCTTTATTGTCCGCAAAACCGGTGGCGAAGAAGTGGCCATTATTTTGGTGGACACACAGGGCTTGTTTAACGACGAGTCCACACAACAGGACATGTCAACCATTGTTGGTCTCAGTCTTCTTAGCGCTTCCACTCTTGTATTCAATTGTGATAATATTAAAGACGATGTGTTCTCAATAATGCACTCATTTCTCGAATTTGGATTACAAGCTGTCCAAAGTGGGAGCGCCAGCGGTGATGTTCACCATAGTGAAAACAATGACCTCAAACCTTTCCAAGATTTGGTTTGTATTTGTATATGCAAATATTTATCATTATCATTAGATCACTAATTCAAGTTTCTATAACAAATATACAAGCAGCCACAAAAGCCGTTTATTCTATATGTGATATAACTCAAACGGAATGATCTAGATCAAATCTGTTAAATTCTGAATCCGGGGGGGGGGAGGGGGCCGACCGATCATATAAACCGCATTATTCATATCAGAATAGTGGTTAAAAATTTGCCGATATGATCGCGGATATGACATTCTTATATACATTTTATAGAATCTATTTACCTTAAATTGTTTAAAAGTTCAAATTCTACGAGCGACCAAATTATTTGACCGCCTCTTAATATAATATTAATACTTCAATAGATATTTATGATCAGAGATTGGAAAAGTCCTGACCCGCCCTACGAATACGGTCTGGAAGGGGGCCGAAACTTATTGAACCGTAAACTAAAAACGAATGACAATCAGTGCGAAACAGCGCGTAATTCACGACAGATTATACGGAAATGTTTTGATAATATTAAATGCTATTTAATGCCATTTCCTGGACGAGAGGCCCGACGGAAGGGATTCAATGGTTGTTCAAATCAAATAGACAATGATTTTGAACAAAAATTAAAAGAATTTTGCGATGTTTTTGTAAATCCCGATACGATTACTGTAAAGACTATCAACGGCCGACCGATAACTGGCAACGAGTTCGGCTCGTATATTGAGGCCTATGTTACTATGTTTAATAGCGAATCAATTCCTCAGGCTTCCGATCTTGTTGGGGCAATGCATAAGGCCCACGATACAAATCTAATTAATCAGCTTAAAGTAATTTGATAAATTATATTACAAAAACATTTAAAACTTTCAAACCGATTAACTATTTTATAAAGTGGTTAACTATATTAATTATTATAAATTAATTTTTTTTGTATATTAATTAGGACGAGTATACATCAAATATTAAATCTTTATTAGCAGACCGCCCATTCGAAGGGCGCCAACGACTGGCCAACAGCTCATCAACTTTGATCGATGGGATAATATTAAAATTTGGATATCGGCGAAAATCAATGACGGAGTCTGTGATACAGGAACTGACCGATCAGTTAAATCACACTCTGGAGACGTCGTACAAACACATAGAAAAAGAGAATGAGAGCCGACGGCTGACGGCCGCTATTAATAAGATCACTGAATTGGTCACAGAATTTAAGAATGATATAGACCGCCATATTAAGCCGAGTGATTATATGTCCGATCATACTATAAATATAATGATTAACTCCAAAAGCGAGAATATTATTAAATTGTTTGATAAATTTTCTGCAATCGATGTCGAAATGTTTACCGAACATAAGGCAAAGGTTAAAATATTATTAAATTTATATGAAATATATTGTTGAATATTAAATTGCAATTGGAAATAATAATATTTATAAATTCCATAACAATAGTTATTGCGTCAATTGGAAAGCGATGGAAATGTATTTAAAAATAAAAACAGGCGAGCGATACAGGAATTAATCACCCGATACGAAACCATAACTGTTTCTCTAAAAACTCAATATGACCAGGTAGATTTGTACCTATTTATTAAATTTTACAATTAACCTATATAAATTTATATATAATAGAAAATTAGTGAATCGTTTATTGATCAAGATAAATTTTACAATAATGATGATTTAGACACACTAAACAATACCATAGTAAGCGAGTTGGTCAATAAATTGAAACAGGTTAATGTAGAAACAGACGTTGTGCCAATCAGAGAATACAGAGTGTCATTGGATAATCACATTCGCGACACGTTTCAAATATATCGCGATATCAATACCAAACGTAACGATAGTGCAATGGCCAAAGTGTTGGATAGTTTGGTCGTGCAATTCGAGAAAGATTTGGACGTATGGATTAGCACTGCGTACACAAATGAAAAACAACGGTATCTTCAGGAGTGTCAACAAATGCGCAGTCGCATTGTAACCGAAAATCAACAAAAATATCAAACACGGTTAAACTTAGCAGAGTTAAGCCGTCGCTTAGACCACACACAAACTGAGATGATGCACATTTTTGTAAGTGACGCGGGAGCCCGACAACGGGCCATTACCGCATTCGTTGACCGTGTGTTGCAATGGTATAACAAGCGTGTGATGGAAGAGTATGGCGATCGGCCATACCTACTGCCGAATCGATTGAATACAATACACGAGGCACTGGTAACCAGAGCGGTGACCCTTTTCAAAACTGAGTGCGACGATATAGTTCCCAACTCGTTCGACGAGTTAGTCTTAAACAAACTTAAAATGGCCTACGATTCGGTGACCACCGAGAATAACCAAAACGCACCGACAGTGCCGGCCATTGGTATCGATTTGGGCACAACAAATAGCTGTGTGGCCTACTATAGACCTGGGCGCTTAGGTCAAGAGGGGAAGATTGTTGTTTGTCACTGTAATAACAACATTCGCAACAACTATGTAACTCCCAGTTGTGTCGAGTATAGAGACAACAGAGAAGTAGTGGTGGGCGAAGAGGCCAGAGATAACGTGCTGGCTAATCGGCAAAACATAATCTATTCGGCCAAACGAATGATTGGCCGCAAGTTTGACGATCAAAATGTAATCAAATTTAAACAGTATTGGCCGTTCGACGTCATCGATATAAACGGTGCAGCAGGTATTGAGGTTAAGGTAGACGGAGCGTCGAGGCAACTGTTGCCCGAAGAAGTATCTGCAGAAGTTTTGCGCAAAATGAAAGCAGTGGCCGAGGATAATATTGGACACAAAGTGTTTGACGCCGTCATTACAGTTCCCGCCTATTTCACGGATGCTCAACGCGAGGCCACACGAGGGGCAGGAATAATGGCCGGTTTAAATGTATTATCTATCATTAATGAACCCACGGCTGCCGCAATGGCTTTTAAACTCACTCGGTTTGACGACACGACCAATAGGTTTGCAATTTAACGTATAAAGAACCTTTGAAAATATGATAACATAAATACAAATAATGCTTAAAAGGAATGTGATGGTTTTCGATTACGGTGGCGGTACTTTAGACGTTGTGGTATTGAAACTGTCGATGAATACTGTGGAGGTTCTGGCAGTGGGCGGTGACACAGCTTTGGGCGGCGATGATTTGGATTACAATATAATCAATTACTGTTTGAGCGAGTTTTATGCCCAGACTGGTGTGGCGTTGGATCGAAACACAGTTGAGGGCGATCGAGCACAACGGGCCCTTAAGGACCAATGCGAACGTGAAAAATGGCGTCTGTCCGAAGCCAAGTCGACAATTATCGCTGTGGATAACATTGCTGTCGGTAATAATTTGAAGGTTACTTTGACTCGAGCAAAGTTTGAGGAGTTGAACAAAGTGGATTTTGACCGTACAATAAAGTGTGTGACATCTACATTGGCTAAAGTTAATGGCGGCGCCGGTATGTTGACCGATCAAATCGACGACATAATTTTGGTCGGCGGCTCAACGCATATTCCTAAAGTAAAGGATATGATTACTGAATACTTTAATGGCCGCCAACCGTCGCATTCAGTGGACCCAATGCTCGCCGTGGCTGAAGGCGCGGCACTACAGGTAACCTGTTATATTCAAGTTATTGTAATATCAAACTATGTATCCCCATAGGCCGCTATATTGAACGGAAACCAAGCCTATCTACGTCAATATTTGCGAGTGCTCGAGGTTACGCCTCATTCGTTAGGTATTGAATTATATGATGGGTCCATGAGCCGTATCATACCCGCCCAATCACGTGTGGACGGTATTCCCCGCACCAATCTTTATCGCACAGCTATCGACAATCAAACAAAGGCCAGTATTAATGTCTATGAGGGTGAAAATCCGGTCGCCACCAATAACAGTCTATTAGGAAAGTTTATTGTCAAGGATATTCCTCCTGAAAAGGCGGGTAAACAAGAATTGACGGTGGAGTTTTGTATCAACGATGATGGTATATTAAAAATTAAAGCAAAAGTGCTATCCCATGGCACTGTCACTCCCCATGAAGTTGTTGAGTATAAAGGCAGATTGTCTAACGATGAGCTGATCCGACGTCGCGATCGATTATAATGTATTAATTATTTGAGTTTGACTTTGATTAAAATTATATTGCGTTTGCATTAAAAATACTAATCATTATAATAAACAATAAAGTAATATAACTTTGTTTACTTTTTAAAAATAAAATAATTTTTGGAAATCATAATTATTGTATATAGATATTTTTAATAATGTTTAAATTTTGTGTAGTTATTAAAATTTTATCCACAATTCAGATATGAATAATGGAGTTTATAGGATCGTTTGGCTACTTATCCCCCGGTCCCCCAAACCTTTAAAATTTAACATCGGATTACAGTTTAAGTCTATGGGCCATAGACTATGGCTATACTTTAACATGGGTAATGCTAATCCGATGGACCTTTTTCTATAAATTTAACATGGGCAAATGTTATCCAATGGGTAATGTTAATCCTATTGGCGATTATTTCCAATGGGAAAGCGAAATATGAAGGGCAAGAGTAATTTTTTCTATGTTAATCTTATGGGACTAATGCTGAGTCTACGACAGAATGTTTAACATGGGTTTCTATGGATAATGTTAGATTTATAAGACTAATGCTGAGTTTATTGACAATGCTAAGTCTATATCATAAGGTTAACATGGGTAATGATAAGCCTATGGGGCTAGTGCTTAATAGATGAATTCTATGAGATAAAAGAATAAAACATCAATCATATTAGAAAATTTTCCAAATAAAAACGTAAAATTAGTTATTTTAAATAACAATGAAAAATTTTGAATTCTTCAAATTTGGGTAGTACTCAAAGAATAGACATTTATTTAACAATGCTATAAAAATGTAATTAATGAGATTTTATAAACGTTCGATTTAAATTATTTGATGAATATAAAGGATTAATTTTTAACATCGTTAATCATTTGATAACAACTATATCTAACAATTATTATTATTAATAACAGCTTTTATTCAAATTGATAACAAATTTTTAATAAATATATTACTTTAAATAGAAAAGCTTAGGGGGGAGAGGTGGTTATAGTGACATGCGAACTGACTTTTCGTTCAATGACTACATCCGAACAAATTGCAAACATAATCGAGGAGAGGGTCTAGATATTATCAAAAGTGCGACAGTATTTTGCGAACAACGCCTTAATAGATTTATAATTATTTAAGTTTCTTATAGATTAATCATTTCTAATATAAAACACGGTTAATAATTATTTAGGCATATTTTTTGAATTTAATAAACCATATAGATTTAGATATATTTGAAGTTATCTTGATTAGTCTCTTAATCTTTATCCTATATTTAAAAATATATATGATAATAAGTTTTATATTTAAACAATTTATCATAAACAAATTTTAACCTGATAACCTTGTACTTATTAAAAATTACATTTTTAAAAGTTCATCACCTAATTTAAATTCATTAATTAATCGATATAAATCAAGTCTTTGTTCTTCTAATCGGTTGGCATTTTTTTCAACAATTTTCAAGCATTCCACGATTTTAACGGAAAGTCTACGCTTTTTGGTTGCAATCGCTTTGCACATCTCGAGTCGCTTATAAATTACATCACAAAGTTGTTTAAACTCATCGACCGGATCAACGGATAGGGTGGACACCGTCCCGGATATAGCCTGTGACCCGTTTGTTGAATTAGTTTCATGTGATATTATCTCTTTGCCTATATTTGTCTCATGAACTGGTGGTAGAATGCAATCTTGGGTTATAATAGATTGTACAGCTGATTGAGAAAAAGCGCAAATTTGATGCAATATTAATTGCTGACCGGCGATACAATCAGTACTTAATCCAGCATGATCTACCATGGCGACTGGTGTTCCGCTGCCATTACTCGAATTTATTATGGCGGTCAAGTGTACTTCGAGTGAATTCTGATCGATGACGTATTGTATACTCATATCTGTTAGAGTAAATAGTTTAAAACCACAAATCGAAGTACTCATATCATGCACTTCACAAGTCTTAACAGTAGTGGCACCTTCAGTCAGACACAACTTTATAGGAAAACTATCGTTACTGATTGCAACTGATAACTGTGTGGGCTCACGATAATCATATGGGTTGGCGTTCATACGGATCAACCCCAGATATTCCAAAGAGTGATTATGTTTTTGAATCAACAGATTAATCTCTGACCTTACAATATCTCGCACTTCTATAGTGTCCAACTTTTTGTCCAACATTTGCCCCAAATATACCGTTCCATTCATTATAATATCTGTTGCATCGCAATCATATAATATGTTAGGTTTTTCTTTAATATGTGTGGTAAATGAATGTGCAATCAGTGCTTTGAAAGCCGGGATGTGTCCCGAATTACCTATCACTAATATCCGGTTTAAATTCTCCATTTTGAATTGTAATACAAATAGTATATATGTTATGTAATCTATAACTTCATTGTAGTTTTTATACATAAAATCATTCAAGTTTAAAACTGTTGAATAATTACAATGTTCAATAAAATTATTACTGATTGTAATTAGGCTGTATTCATATTGATCTCCATGAATAGCAAATATTATCATAATCTCTTTTGTGAATGATTTGTGACAACACTCGGTAACGTAAGCAATGGCTGCGGCAGTCATTTCATTGACAATATGCACACAGTTTTGTTCAAAGCCTGCGATTAGGCCCACGTCTAACATCGCGCGCCTCTGTTTAGTGTTATAAAGTGTGGGCACACAGAACACAGCCCTCTGTGCGGGTGTTTTCATCGCAGTCTCGGCCCTGTGTTTAATGTCCAACACTTGTAGCCCCACCAGAGTCTCCGCGTTTATGCCGTTGTTTTCAGCATTAATCTCGAGAGATTGTAGACGAAATTTGGGCGGTGAGTCTGAGCACCACTCAAACGGGTATTTCTTGAGTTCTGTGACGTCGACACGATCCAAACCCAACAGGTCTTTTACATCAAACTTAGTGTTCAAACATTGCTCTGTTAAATACTTTTTGGCTTTGTTACCGAAAAGGAATTTATCGCTAAATGCAATACAATTTTCCACATAATTGTTATATTGGTTGCCATTAGTCTCAATATAATCATGATCCCCATTATGCACAAATTGAACTGTTTGATAAAAATATCCACCTATTAGTAGATTATGTTCAAAATAAACCATAATTGTTTGCGATATCGGTGCATTGTAAAGATTATCGAGTTTATATTCGCTTATTTGATTAATCAGCTCTATTTGAAGTACATATCGGTGTTTTTGCTCAAATTGCCATATTAAATTATTATTCCAATTTAGTTTTATTGGTTTTAACACATCCACAATCATATTCATTGTAACAACACAAATATGTTCCAATAGACTACTTAATTCGGTTATCTCAATATATTCACTATTGTATGGCATATATTTGCGCACATTCTGGCAATACTTTTGGTGCAAATCTCTCACAATATTTGTATTAATGGTAAACAATTTGTTGGCTTTTCCTGCATAATCTAATTTAATTTGGTCAAAATATTCACTTAATTGGTCATGACACTTTACAACGCATAAGTGCTCCAGTTCAGTTTGAGTGTCTGTGAATAACTGTTTTAATGTTGCAATTAACTCAAGCTTTAATATTGCGTGAATGACGTACAAGTCGGAAGATGTATAATATTTTGATCTTGCAATTTTTATAAATAAATAAGTATATTTTTTTACTATTAACCTTATTAACCGTTTGGCCAGAAGTGTTTCATTTTGATAAATAGTTTTACATTCAGTCGTGTAATATCGGACAATTTTGTCATAAATTAAACGTAGTTTAACAACAAATCTTGAATTAGACTTCAAATTTTCAGGTCCAGCAATATTTTTATATTGCTTATCCAGTGTACTTCTATCCACTCGTATTTGATTTTCACATATAGTTCGATAACTTTCATTACAATCAAATATGTCTTTATATTTTACTACATTTTTGGCAAAATTTCGTTTTAAAATTAATAAATACTTTTCTTGTGATTGCAGATCTCGAGATAGACCAACAGATCCGGTATTAAACTTCAAAATAATTTCCTTAATAACATTGTCATAAATGTTAGTAAAATTTTGCGCCAAATTATTTTGGTTAATTTGCATATTAATGGCTTTGCTAATTTTAACATTAAATTCTTTTACACAACAATCAATTAATGATTTATATTTTGATAAATTTACTTCTTCAATATTTTTCATAATATCACGTTTATTATGTTGTGTTTGGTATAACGTATTTCTATATTTATAGTAAGAAGCAGCGATGGTACTTGATGGATTTTTTAAACTTATTGAATAAATATTGCAATCATTGGTAAAATCGTTAGTACAATTGTTGATAAAATTGGTAGGTTGGCAGATTGTTGCCACAATAGCGGCTTGGTCTTCAATATCTTGCTTGGTCAAACAATATTTGCATTCTGATAACTTAGCCCCTTTAAATAAATCAGATACAATATAATTCTGTATAATCTTTACATCAAATTCAAAATTTAAACTATTTTTGTTGTTTAAATCGCCTTTGATAAATAAATACAAGTAAAAATCTTTGGTTTTGTCAAAGTCAGACGGGTATTCATCCATGATGAACTTTGTGATAATCGAGTGTGGACCATCGCTTATTTCTACAGTCAATCTAAAGTCATTTGTGTAGCTCAATTTGTAATTTTTATCAATAACTCCTTTGTACAACTTATTAGCGTGTAGTAATATTTTGCTTTTGGGATCTGAATTGATATGACATATGATATCCCGAAACAACACTCCAGTGATGGGTATGTTATGACCATTAGTTTCGTAGTATTTACTGTAAAACACGGCACCCATCATAATAGGCGATCGATCGTAATAACATTTTACATCGGTGCAGTAATTTTTTATGATTTTTATAAAATCATTGTTTATTGAATGATTTTCATCACCTGAAAATGCAAATTAAAATAAATTATAATTTTATTTATAACATAACACTGACTAGCTTAATGTAACTCAAGTAGCGTTGCCAAACATACAGGAATTCCCTGTATTATA